CCCCAAAACCCCAAAACCCCAAAACCCCGCAAGACAAAGTTAAATGAATAAAAATATCGATTAAAATATTTAATTTGAAAGCATTTCTTAATTTAAAATATACGGTCAACTCGATTAAAGACATAAAGTAAAAAATATTAAAGTTCATTCAGTATAATTCAGCAACCATACACCTAGCTGACCCTCCACCTATTGTTTCAATCATGTTGATGTCACTGGCTACTATTCTGTAGTTTTCCTCTAATTCTTTCAAGTACTCTTTTCTGAGACTGTCTCTTGCTCTTTAACTCATAATTACACAATGCTCTCCTCTCTTATTCTAAACCATGATCATATTGCCGCACATGTTATTTATTTCTTCATAATTTAGATCAATCAGTTTTTTGGGGCAGATATTTAATGACTCGTCTGTTATCTCTCTAATAACTCTCTGTCTTTCTTCTTCATCTTTAATTGACTCTGTGCAAAGTAGAGCATGGTCCTTAAGAAGAGCCATGATAACATTTGTGTGATATATTGGATTGTTTTTAGCATCAACGGCATTGAATACGACAGATTTATATGGGTTTTACGAGATCTTGTTGAATTTCTCCACGAATTCGGTGAGAAGAGATGCATCAGCCCTCTCTGAGAGATTTACATATATTTTCTTGTTAGTAGTATCAAATATGAGTGAACCAGTGCCCTCAAGAGCAGTTGAGTATTCAAATTTTCTCAAATCAATGTAATTTTTATAATTTACACCCTCTTATTGAATAATAAGCGGGTTCTTTTCTCTCTCTCTTGTTTCGGCTTTCATTGGATACACAACAAATAGGCCATCTATATACAATTATAGATATTATTTATAATACCTGGTATGTCTGTCCCTTTATGAGTTGAAAACCAATTATTTGGAAACACTGAATCTGGCAAATCTGGCGTTAATTGCTTATATACTTAAACATCAATGTCATTTTCGAGGAGTAAATCCTTGAATTTTCCGAATTCTTCGATTGCTTTTAATGATGACTCTCTCTGATCTATCTAAACTTTGTTCATGAATTTATTGTCTTAGAATGTCTCCTCATTTAAAAAGAAATGAGTAGGTTCAACCATTAAAACCTTTTAAGAATAGACTTAGGCGAAGCTTTGCTAGTTCATTTATAAAAAATATAATTATTCTCTCCTTAAAACCTTATTATATCTAAGTGCTTTGTGCATTAGCTTATTGATTGATTACATAAGTTAATTATTTTAATAATCCACTACTGATTAAATGCTTTTTTGGGAAAGTACTTAAATAATATAGAAGCAATAATTTTGATTTTGTGGATGTGAACCTCTTTAGCTATCTACCTTAATGTATTATTAGTTTAGTTGAAAATTGATAACTTTGGAGTATACTAACCTCAAAGCCTTTGACCTCCTCTGGTTGGTGATGGCTAAGCCAACATTTCTATACCTGATATCCATCTATGTCTCTTTCCTTCAACCCATTCTCCTTATCTCTTAGTGCCTTCTTTAGCGCTAGCCCAAATGCCTATGCCATGCTATTTTCCTTTTTTCCAGCTTCCAATATATTTATTTCCATTTGGCCATTCGAAAGTGCCTTCACCATCCTTTTTACCATTCTTGAAGTCTCCATCATATTTTCTACCATCACTCCATAACTCCTATCCTCTGCCTTCCATGTTACTCATTCTAAATTCTCCCTGATAAATCTTATCTAAATCAGCAAAATAGTATTTCCCGAAACCTTAAAACTGACCATCTACAAAATCACCCTCATAGTAGCTTCCATCTTCCCAATCAAATCTACCTTTTCCGTGTTTCTTTCCTTTGAAGAATTGTCCTTGATATCTAGCACCTCCATTATCCCAAGTTTCAAGGCCATTGCCATGCTGCATATCATCAAGCCAGTCTCCCTCATATTTAGCACCATTTGTATCAATGAACAGTCCCTATCCATCTGCCTTGTCATCTTTCCAATTACCTTCATAAATATCACCATTAGCATGAGTCATTCTTCCTTTTCCATTTGCTTTGTCTTTTTTCCACATACCTTCATATTTTGAGCCATCAGGCCAGAATTAAATACCTAGACCGTCCCTCTCACCAGTCTTTTTATTCCATTGGCCTTTATAAAGTCTACCATCTCCAACATCCTTAAATTCATCTATATACACCCTATTAACTGCATTTGGGTTCTCTAAATCTAGGTCCTTTGGGCCAAGCTAAAATTATGGGAGTTTTTCAATAGTTTCTGGCTTTTATTTTTAAGCGCTGTTTGGCCCATGAACACTAAGATGATTTTTGCCATAGCCATTTGATTCACTTGAACTTCCATTGACGCCTAAATCAATTTATAAAGATCTTTTATTACCAAATAATTGCTTTATCTTAGTATCTCATACTTGCTTTAGTTGTTTTTTAGCTCTGTAAGTACGGAAGTATGATTGAATCAATACTAATGAATCGATTTCTTTCTTAGAATAGTCTGTATTTGATGCACAACAATTACCCATTAATTTCAATCTATATATTAAAGTTTTATCTTAAAATAAAAATTTTGATAATATTTTTCCACATGGGGTTTTGGGGTTTTGGGGTTTTGGGG